GGGATGGGTCGCGCGGGTGGCGGGTCGCGGCGCGGGTGGGTCGCGTGGTGGGTCGCGGGTGGGTCGCGGGTGGGTCGCGGGTTGGGTCGCGGGGTGGGTCGCGGGTGGGTCGCGGGTGGGTCGCGGGTGTGTCGCGGGGTGGGTCGCGGGGTGGGTCGCGGGGGGTCGGGGTGGGTCGCGGGGTGGGTCGCGGGGTGGGTCGCGGGCGGGTCGCGGGGTGGGTCGCGGGGTGGGTCGCGGGATGGGTCGTGGGGTGGGTCGCGGGTGGGTCGCGGGTGGGACGACGACAACAACTAACACCACCACCACCACCACCAACAACAACACCAACACCAACACCAACGACAACATCAACATCAACACCAACATCAAATTCAACATCAACATCAACATCACGATCAAGATCAACATTGAAATCAACATCACCATCAACACCAGTATCAACATCACCATCAACAACACCAAGCACCACCACCAACGACAACACCAACACCAGCAGCAACAGCAACACCACCAACAACACCACCGACAATAGCATCAGGCACAGCAGCAAGAACACCAACACCAACAGCAACAGCAGCATCTGCAATCATATCAACACCAGCACCGACGACAACAGCAACGACAACACCACCACCAACAACACAAACACCAACACCACCAGCAACAGCACCACCAGCACCACCAACACCAACACCACCACCAACAACACCAACACCAACACCAACAACAACAACAACAACAACAGCAACACCACCAACGCAACACACATCATCCTCTCCACGGATCCCCACTCCAGCCACGCACCCAGGGACAATGACAGACCGTTCGGCCTCTTCACTCTGATAATTATTAGTGGATGAAGTAATTGTCAAGGTGCAGCCCAGCGTCGACGCTGTTTAACTCCTCTCTCTTTTTCGTGCCGTTCCTTGTCTTGGGCTTCGTCGGCTGGGCGGCTCCTAGCCCTACTTCGGCACAGGCCGCGGGTGTGTGGCGCTTGCCCCCCTTCCTGGGAGTCGGTGGGCACGTGCACTCACCGTCCGATGCCCTGTGCGCAGGAAGAGGGAAGAGCAGTGAGGACGGTGAGAAGGGGAGGGTAAAGGAGGGAGGGATGGATTTGGTTGTTGTGGAGCCCGTAGAGATCGGTTGCCTCGAATTTTCGCAGTTCGGCTCAAGACCTCCGGGCTTCGGCTTCAAACCAGCCGCAATCAAAGACCTTAAAGCCAGTTCCGTCGGCCCTGAGAAGTGAACAGCTTGGGCGGAAGGGGCGGACAGGAGACGGAGGAAATGGACATTGGCGGCATTCATGCTGGGGCGAGGGTATGGTACATGGTCTTCGGCCCATCCCGTCGCTTCTGCGCCTGGGTTGTGTTCCAGAGTCCTTGGGAACCTTTTGGGGGATCTTGCGAGGCTTCTCGGGGAACTCCTGGGGGCCTGTGTGGCCGACTTAGGTGCGTCTTGAGGCATCTCGGCCTCGTGTGGGTATCTTGCGGGTTTTGGGGTCGTGTTGCAGGGTTTGGCTTCTAGCGGTGCGAGAGTCGCGTGCTGTTTGGGCTCCTCTTGGGGCTGTCCAGGGGACTTCTTGGCCCCTCTTGTGGGGCTCCTTGGTCATCTTGCGCTGGTCTTTGAGGGGTTCTTGGGCCGTCCTGGACGCTCCTGCGACCGATGCAGCGAACATTTTGAGTCACGCAAGCCTCGGGAGATCGGCCGACTTTGGCCTCTCGGGCCTTCCCCCGGGAACGCAAAAACGGCCAGGGAGACTCCCAGTCGTTCCGAGGTGGAATCCATGGGGCCCTAGCTGGCCGCCCAGGTGGCCCAAGGATCGCCGAGCAGGCTCGAAGATTGTCCGAGTCACTCCAGTGAGGGGTGGGCGGGGATGCGCCCCCCCCCGCCAAGGACCCCCCCAAGGCCACGCCCGGCTGGGACTCCCCCTGGGACCCCCCTCCCCTGGGACCGTCGCTGGGCTCTAAAGACGTCCTGGGGACCTCCTGGGCCGTCGTCGGTGGGGACCTCTCGGAGGGTGCCTTGTTAACCCTCGGGGCCACAATGCGCGCTACGCGCCCCTTCTCCTCCCCAGAACGCAACGCTCCCCCCACCTCCAGCGCGTCCCGCGGCACTGCCGCAGTGCGTCGGGCACCAGTCTGTGGTGCCGGTGTCTGGGGAGAAGGGGGGGGCGTCACGTTCTGCGCCCCCCTGGCCTTCCCCGTCTCGCCCCATCCCCCCACAACGCCCATCCTCGCCGCCTGCGAATCAACAAATAATCTCTTGGGCAGTCTTGTGGCCATCTTGGGCCGTCTTGAGGCGTCCTCGAGCCATCTTTGGCGGCCTTTCTGGCCTGCCTTGGCCCTCTTCGAAGTCATCCTGGGCATCCTGGACGCCCTCGACTCGAGCGCGACAGGGACGCGTCGAGGCATCCAGGAGCCCTCGGGAGCGGCGGGTTGGTGCGCGCAGGCTTCTGCGGGGAGAACAAAGGGGGCCCCGTGGAGGTCTGCAGAAACCCTACCAGGCAGCACTTCGCGCGGTACCACGCCCCAGCGTGCCATGGGGCACGGTGGCTGCCTGGCGCACCCCGGAGGAGCCAGCGCTGGAATCGACTCAGGTTGCCTCGCCACTAGCCGAAATCTTCGCGCAAGGACCCAGCGCCTTCAACGATTCTGGCCTGTCTGGCGACATATTGCCTGCTGTGATCACTGACGGAGGTGCGGCCCTGCTGGCAATATTCGGGCTAACAATGAAATAATTCAACGCAGTGCCTGGAACAGGCAGCGTGCACATGGGCTCAGTGCTTGCAGCAATTATGCCGTTAAGCGCCGACGCCCAGGACTGGGGCAAGGAAGGTGTCACGTTGAAGTTACCTCCCGCCGCCCCATCATATCCAATTGCCTGCGCCCTTTGAATGTACCTGGAAGCCTCCGCGAGCAGAAACATGTCGTTCGGCCCGAAATCTGCGCCAACCCGATAATTTAGCGACACAGCAATGATGCCCTTCTTGAAGACCGTGTGCCTGTTCCCCGCAATTGTGCTCAGGCAGGGATCTAAATTGTTTCCGACCCACGGTGGGCATGTGACCTGAATCGCAGTAGGACAAATCACCGCAACGCCTGCACTACACCCTCTCCCACTTGCGTTGTCTGTGTCTGACGCCTCGGATCAAACGCCAGGATATCCTCCTGCCTTCAATCTGCCCTGAACGGGGCCAGGTTTATCTTGAAGCAACCGATGCTCCTGACAACAAATGATATGCAACCCTGCCCGCAGCGCCGGCTCCTCAGCGTCGAACCGTTCGCCCAAGGGTCCGTTCGAGCTCAAGTTAAGCGTCATGAATTTTGTATTTTTCCCCATGGATGGAGAAACCATCGTGCCAATCAGCCAGAACAACACCACCAATGCCCTGGGCCACGGGCGCGGCCGCAGGCTCCACTGTCCTCGACCTCTTGGCGAACAAGGCCAGGCTCGTCCCAGCCCGTTGGACCGCCTCGCGCATCTCCGCGTCATCCTCAGGGACTGCAATGTTGAATGACTGCGTGACTACCTTGCACGTCTCAGCATCCTCCGTCGCATCAGGGATCCAAATCGGCGCGCGTTGCGCTGGGGCGGCAGCCTGCGCCTCCTGGGGCACGGGCGTCTGTGGCGCAGCTGCTGCGGCCGCGTGGCTCGGCCCGCTGCCTGCAGCGGCTCCGCCTGCTGCGGCTGTCGAGGCCGGAGCCTGGGCTGCCGCTGCTGCCGCCTCCGCCGCCCTGCCCTCCACCTCCGCACGGAGGCGTCGCCTCCGCGTCGTTCACCTCGGAGAGGCACGCGTGGAGCCGCGTCGCGAGTTCTTCGGATCCGCCGAGGGAGGCCAGCAGCCGGCCCAGCTTCTCCACCGTGAAGGCGTCGCCGACAACTGGCAGCACCTGCGCGATGGCCGGCTTCATGGCGCTGGCGGGGAGCGGTTGCAGCACTTGCGCAACCAGTTGGCGCCGCTCCTCCTCCAACTTTAGAGCGGCCCCTTGCCCGGGCGCACGAGCTGAGCTGCCGCCTCCGCCGCAGCTTCCTCGGCCTCGGCGACCTCGGCGCGCAGCGTGTCGACCAGCTGCGCCTGCTTATTTTTCATCTGCTCCAACTTGGCGTGCTGAAATGGCATCTCACTGAGCCTGGTGTCCAAGCTCTTGCCCTCGATAAGACGCTTGCGGAGCTCAACCTGACGGCACCGTAGCTTCAAGTCTTGGCAGTCGCTTGCCCCATGGAGCTTCGCCAGGTGCGACTCGACCTCAGACAACTCTCGTTTAACCTTAGAGTTGGGCTCTCATCGGCATGCTCGTCGACCTCCATTGCCTCGCCGTTGGGTGCCCCTTTGTTGACTTTGTTGACTCTTGAGTTTCGTCAATTCTGCACGCAACTTCTTGATCCCTGACAATTCCTGCGACCTTCCTCCATCACCTCCGTGAGTCGGCGGCGAGCGAAGGGGCGCGCCGCCTAGTTAGACTGCCCCAGCTGCTGGACGCTTTCGGAAGGCGTGAAAGAGGTCTCGCGGTTCCCGCCGGAAGCGGTGCCCCTTGCCTGCTTGCAGAGGCTGCAGTGGTCAAGGTCCGTTCGGTTCCCTTTTCCTGTCTCCAGTGGACGTAGGCCAGTGGTGCTTACATCACCATGGCTTCTCTACCGCGATGCTCCGTCGTTTAAAGCAATTCTGATAATGTAGTGAAAAAGCCGTCTCCTGCCCGGCAGGCGGCACCATGTGCCTGCCGTGTCTGGTTTGGCTGCCCGTTCTTGACCCTGGACGATGGCTGTAGAACGGGAACCTGAACTCCCCTCGCCAAAATGCCCCAGCCCATGAGCCTCTCGCCGGGGACTTGAGCCCAAATGGCTACGGGCGAGGAGGAGTCGAGGCAGGAGGAAACGGAGGACGAGGAGCGGGAGGAGCAACCAGGAGAAGGACGAGGAGAGACATGAGCAACCAGAAGCAACGAGGAGCAGGAGCAACCAGGAGCGCGAGGAGGGGAGGGCGCGGCCCCGGGCGCCAGGAATGATGGGCTGCGGCATGGCGGACGGGGTGCGCGCGCCGCGCGCGTGCCCGCCCCTCCCCACGACCCAGTCGACACCTCCCAGCCGTTCCGAGCTCCTCCCCTCCTCCACCCCCTTCCTCCACCTCCCCCTCCTCCCTCCCCTCCCTCTCCTCCTCCTCCTGCTCCTGCTCCTGCTCCTGCTCCTCCTCCTTCTCCTCCTCCTCCTCCTCCTCCTCCTCCTCCTCCTCCTCCTCCTCCTCCTCCAGGCTCTGGGCCCTGGCTGCTTCGCTCGTGGGTGTGGGGCGACGCCAGGCGACCCGACACGGGTCGTGCCGAGGGCTGTCTTCGCCACTCCTCGGCTCCCGGGGGGCCGCTTCTGCGCACCGGGGCCGCAGAACATGAGCTCGGGAGGGGCAGCCGGGCCTGGGGCAGTGGTCGAGAAGTCCAGGGGCCAGCGGCTCGAAGACATCAAGGCGGCCGATGTGTGGGCGGTACCCCAGATTTCGTAATAAAGGGAGGGGGGTCTCATTTCGGGGGGGGGGTCTCTTCCAGGCTATCTTGGAGGGCCTGGGGGGGTCTGGGGACGATGTTTTGGAGGGTTCTCCCACGGGGGAGGCCTGAAATGGCTTGTCTTGGAGGGTTGTGACCCCCTCCCTTTTATTATGAAATCTGGAGTAGTCATGGGCGGCCGCGGCGCTCCTCGGTAGATTCGGCCCCTGGTGCTCATCTTCCAGACCTCTCCTCCAGTCATCTGCCCACGTCTTGCGGGAGGCTCCTCCACCTCCCACCTCCGCAGACACCCGGCGCGCCTCGCGTCCTCTCCGAGGCGCGAGCCCCCCCCCCACAACCTCTCGACCCCTTCTTCGGGGCCGGCTCTTCACGCTCGGGCGGCTGTCCCCGTGGGTTTTGTGTCTCGGTTCTCCGCTCGGTCGTTGCCCCTTCCGCCGTCGTGTTTTCTTTTGGCCCTCGCTCGTAATTATTTTTTTTCGGGCCCTCGTTCGGTCCTGTTGCTGCCTGGGAGTGAGTGCTCGATTCGAACCCTCGTCCAAAAGAAGAGGCTTTCTCCTCGCCTCCGTCTACCTGTGCGCGTCCCGCGACCTCGCCGATGTGCTTCGGACATTTTTCTACAGCGTGGGTGCAGTACTCGGAGCGGCTGACCGCCCCCTCGTCATGGGTGACGACCGGCAGATGCTGCCAGACACGCTCGCTCAGGCGCACCGGATCCTTGCAGTGCGAGGTACCGTTCGTGCGTCGCCACCTGCGGAGGCCACGCGCGTCGCCCCGAAGAGAGAGCGCGTGTCGTCGTTTTCTGAGTCGTCGGCCGGGCGCGCCTGACAGACGACGCGTCCGAGCCTGCGCACAAGAGGGGGGTGCTGTGCGAGCTGGGCATCGACGCCGTGCCCACTGCCATCGCCACCAACCAAGCAGCCAAGACGTTTCCAGCTTCTCGAGTGATACGACCCCAAGGGCCACTGCCGAGCCACGGCGTCATGGCCAGTGATGCCGCGGAGCTCGGCAAGGCCAGGGAATTGCGCAGGGCGAAAAGGCGCGCGCGAGAACGAAGACGCGCAGTTCTGCGCGAGCTGGTCGAGTTCTACTGTCTGGCCGGCGGGGGTGACAGACGCCGTGGTGGTCGGGCTAGCGGCGCCCAGTGCGTCGCCGCGGCCCTGGGCGTGCGTCGCCGCGCCACGGCGAGGCGACGAACCAAGGTGCTTTGGGCGAAACGGCACCCTGTAAGTCACCGTTACCTTGGACATGCATCGCCGCGGCAAGGCGACGACCCAAGGTGCACCAGACACTCGCGACGGAGATTGGCCCTGGCCAGCAGACCTCTCGCGCGAATGGCGTCTCGGAAAAATTGCAGCGGAGCAGCGTTGAGGAGAAGAACGAACACGCCGACTGCGGGGTCTCCACCTTGATCTTCTCCGGTTCGCCCAGCCCTCCGCTGATGAGGTGAGGCCGGGGACGTGGGCAGCTTGGCGCGAGTTTGCGGGCAAGCTGGATCGCCTGGGCGACGAGGGCCTTAATCACATGAAGATGCCGCGCATGGCTTGGCTAGGCTCGTGGCCCCACCAGGCAGGCGGGCATGTGTTAAGCATTCAGGTGGTTCAAACAGGAGGCCCCGTGGTCGATGACATTCCAAGCCGCCGAGGACGGCAGGGTGCAGAAGTTGATGGGCGTGGCAGCGGACGCCGTTGAGCCCCCGCGTGCCCTGTGGACATGTGGCGCTGGAGTCTCGGAGATCAACCGGATGGACGTCGACTTCGAGGTGGGGCCTGCACGGCGACCTTCGGTGGAGGAGGTCAGACGCGCGGCGCGCGCCTTCTCTGGCATCGCTGGGCTGGGCTGCGACGCGGTCCACCCTCGGCACTTCGTCGCCTCCAGCGACCAGGCCGTCGCCGCCGGGACCAGCTTCGGGAAATCAATGATTGGAGCGGGCCACATGCCCAACGCAATCCGCCTAATGGGGGAGGCTCTCCTGCCTAATCCCGAATCCCGAGGGAGGGCGACGGACGATTGGCAGACTCCCAGGTGCAATTCGGCCAGATTCGCGACTGCGTCTACGGTTCGCACGGCCAGAGCAAGAGCTGCGCGGCGTCCGCGTGGCGCCAAGCCGCGCGATGATAATTTGCCATGTGCATCTCTTCAGGACGCGCCGCCATCGCGGCGCTGCTAGGGCCTGTCAAAGGTACGCGGGTTCATCGGGTGGCGAATCTTCGCCAGCAAGGCCCGCAGCCTCAATTTCGGCACTGTCACCCTGCGGCTGCTCGTTGGCCTCCACAGCGTGCCCAGGCGCGTGTCTTTCGAGGGGATCGCGCGGCGCGAATGCACGCTCATGAACGGAGGGGTGGCCGGATCCTCGACCCTGTGGCAGGCATGCAGCTCACATCTCTCGGGAAACGGCCTTGCGACATCTGACTTCGGGCGACGCCCCGAGCGCGCGGCGACGCTGGCGGTGGCTGCCGCGCACAGCATCGTGAGGAGCGGCTTGCTGAAAGACCGCTTCGTCCTGATCGAGGGCAGGGGTAAGGTAAAACGACGCGAAGATCGGGATAAAATCGGATCGGGATAACTCGAAATCTCTGAGAATCGGCAGCTTTGGAGGGTGTATTGGGCGCCGCGGCCGCTCCAGAGCGTTCCGGAACGCTCTGAGAGCGTTCCGGAACGCTCTGGAGCGATTTGTAAGGTAGGGACCAATTGCCACAGTGCTGCAGGTGCCCTCGGTCGCCTGTGCCCCTCTTCTTGCCAGCAGGGAAGCTTCTTCGACGAGGGGCCCGAGTCGATTTTGCACGCGGTAAGCGGGTGGGCGCGCCCACGCGCTGCCAGCGCCTCGGCCGCGTGGGAGCCCTTTCCAATGGCGACTGGGGTCGTCAGATCCGTTGCGTCCGCTGCCCGTGCGCGTAGTAAGGACGCCAAAATCTTCGGGCGAACTCCGTGCCAGCAAGCTATGAGCCCCCGTTTTTGGCAAATTGGCCCGTTCGTTTTTGTGGAGTGTGCAGAGACCACTCGATGTATCACACGTGCAATCTCGCCCAACACTGCCGCGGTCAGCGCGTGCGAGGCTCGACGGCGCATCGCCGTTTCACCAGCCTCTGGCAGGGCCTGCACCCGCAGACGGGCCTACGACTGGTCCCGTTTGAGGGCCCTCGGTCTCCCCTCCCGTTTGGCACCTTCGCCATGGAGGTCTTGTCCGGCTGGTGATTCTTGCAAGTTTGGTCGTGCATTTTGCGCGTAGAGGCACACGCAAACCGAGTCGCGCGTTGCGCGTAGAGGCGCGCGAGTTTGTCGTCGTGGAGGCACGCCTGTCGGTGCCCACGGCGACCTTTCGCCACTTGGGGCGGGGATTTGGGTTGTCTGACTGCCCTGCGGGGGCCACCCCCCGTCTGCTCCTTGATGATACTCTGGGGCTCCCTCCTCCCCCCTCCTTCCCCGCTGTCTCCTCTGTCCTCATTTGTCCTCCTCCCTTCTTCTTCTTCTTCTTCTTCTTTTTCTTCTTCTTCTTAGAATTCCCTCCCGCCTTCTTCAAAGGCTGCCCCCCTCTCGCTGCCTCTTGTGCGCGCCGCCACTTGATTCCACGCACCAGAGGTCACTCCAGCGAAGGGCCATTCGGTTTGTGGATCATAGTTCCGGTCTCCAGCGGTTTTTCGGGACGGTTCGGGCACGCCCCGAATGCTCCTGGCGAGGCGCATCTGCCGGAGCGCATCAAGAGGCAGGAAGAACTCCAGGAACCGTCGACGACGTCCGAACCCCCAGATTCCCATGCATGACTGGAGCGCATCCCGAGGCAGGAAGACCCCGGGACACCGACGGAGGCGTCCGAGCCGCCAGGTCTCTCTGCCTGGGGGTCGCTCTTGCCCCGGGACGTCTCCTGCGCGTTGCCGGTCCCGGAGGGCCTGACGACCCTCCTTCACTCGGGCCCAGACAAGCCGACGTGCCGACGCGGCGGCAACCCCGCCGCCGGCGTTCAAATTTGAATTACGCCAGTGGCCCAGAACCTGCTGACATGTCGAAGCATCGCCGACTCCTCAAGGTTGAACGAACCACATGGTTTCAGAAACCAGCGCCTGGGTCGCACGACGCGAATCTACCGTAATTCTGCGTAAACCGCACTGCTGAGTCTTCCGCCTCGTCCTCGTCCTCCTTCTAAGTACGTACGCTTTGCCATCAGTACAAGACATGGTTTCCCGCGCAGGCTCGCCTGTTGCAAGTTCGTCCTCGCGTGACTCCAGGTTTGCTTGGCTCATCTCGTGGGCACCATGATCCGCAGGGGAGCCTGTTTCATGAGGCAGAGACAGGTCGTGCAAGTTCCAGCGCGAGTGGAGGGGTAGCAGCTGTCGTCACTCCCTTGATCAAAGGCATAAAAAAACGCCCCTACCCTGGTTTACGAGGCGCTGCGCGCTGAAACTCCTGTGGGCTGACAGGGTAAACCCTGCGTGATGTGCCGCGTCCTGGCGGCTCTAGGCTCTGGGGGCTCCCAGGAGGTTTACAGACCACACATTTGTAACCCAGGGTAGGGTCGTTTTGTCATCCCTCAACTTGAAGCGAGCGGACCTTCGCCCGCCAACCGCCGCCGCCGCCCGCCCCCCGCAGTCGCAGTTCGGCATGGGAGGGCAGGGGCCAGGCGGGCCCGTGCCAGCTCGGCCGCCGTGTCTGCGCGGCGGCGGGCAGCCTCGACGACGGCGTCGGCGAGGAGGGGGAGGACGAGGACAAGGAGGCGAGGAGCGAGGAGGAGGAGGAGGAGGAGGAGGAGGAGGAGGAGAACGAGGACGAGGAAGAGGAGGCGGAGAAGGAGTCGGAGAGGGATGAAGGCGAAGAGGGGGCCACACTGATGATGATCCCGTGCTATGCCGTGATGTTGCTGATGACGCTGCTGATGATGCTGCTGCTGATGGTGGTGATGTTGATGGTGATGGTGGTGGTGGTGGTGTTGGTGGTGGTGGTGTTGGTGGTGGTTGTGGTGATGATGGTGATGATGATGGTGTTGCTGATGGTGGTGGTGATGGTGATTATGGTGGTGGTGGTGATAATGGTGATGAAGAGTGTGTATAATAATCACAACCAGCAGGATGCTGATGATGCTGATGATGCTGATGGTAATGGTGATAGTGATGATGACGTCGATGGTAATAATGCTGCTGATGATGATGATGAGCATGATCATCATGATCATCATGATGCTAATGCTGATGCTATGCTGATGCTGATGCTGGTGATGATGATGATGATGATGATGCTGATGATGATGATGATGATGATGATGATAATCAGGATGAGGATGAGGATTCGGGGGGGTGAGGAGGAGGAGGAGGTGGGGAAAGGGCAACGAGGGGGAGGAGTAGGAGGAGGAGGTGACGGAGAGCGACAATGACGAGGCGGGGGGCAATAACGAACATGCTGTTGCTGATGATGATGACGATGCTCATGATGATGATGATGATGCTGATGACGATGATGATGATGATGATGATGATGGTGATGGTGATGAGTAGGATGATTATGGTGATGAGGCTGGTGCTGATGCTGTTGATGCTTATGATGATGATGGTGATGATGATGCTGATGACTACGATTGATGCTGCGAATGATTGCGTTGACGATGATGAGGATGATGATGATGATGATGATGATGCTGATGATGCTGATGATACTGATGATGCTGATTGTGATGGTGATGATATTGATGATGCTGATACTGCTGTTAATGATGGTGATGTTGCTCATGGTGATGATGCTGACGATGATGATGATGATGATGATGATGATGATGATGATGATGATGATGATGGTGCGTATGATGATGCTGCTGATGATGATACTGGTGCTAGTGGTGATGCTGATGACGATGCTGATGATGATTATGATGCTGATGATGATGATGCTGATGCTGCTTCTGATGATTTTGTTGTTGCTGATTACGATGCTGCTGACGATGATGATGCTGCGGATGCTCACGATGACGCAGATGATGCTCATGGTGCTGACGATGTTGAGGATGATGCTGCTGCTAATGCAGCTGCTGATGATGCTGATGATGAGGTTGCTGATGCTGATGCTTATGGTGACGATGATGATGCTGATGATGATGATGACGATGATGATGCTTCTGATGACGCTGATACGATGGAGGGTCCACAGGGAACGGATGATGAGAAGGATGAGGACGATGCTGCTGCTGCTGCCGACCATGATGTTGATGATGCTGATGCTGCTGCTGATGATGATGTTGATGATGTAGATGCCCACGATTATGATACTGCTGATGACGATGTTGATAATGATGCTGATGATCATTGTGATGCTGCTGCTGATCATGATGGTGATGGTGATCATGGTGATGATGATGTTGATGCTGATGTTTATGCTGATGCTGATGATTAGGGTGCTGCTGATGATGATGATTATGGTGATGGTGATGCTGGTGATGCTGATGCTGATGATGATACTGCTGGTACTGATGCTGATGCTGATGATTTTCCTTGTGGTGGTGATGGTGACGATGATGATGGCGACGATTGTGATGATGCTGATGATGAGGATGATGATGATGATGATGGTGCTGATGCTGACACTTCTGATGATGACGATGATGATGCTGGTTACGATGATGATGATGGTGATGATGATGGTGATGCTGTTTATTCAGATGACGATACTGTCGATGATGGTGATAGTGGTGATGCTGTGGATGCTGATGGTGATGATGCTGATGATGATACTGCTCATGCTGCTGATGATGCTGATGACGATTATGGTGATGGAGATGGTGACGATAATGATGATTGCGATGATGCTGATGATGCTGATGCTGATGCTGATGCTGATGATGATGATTACCATGACACTGATGGTGATGATGGTGCTGATGCTGCTGCTGATGATGAGGCTCATGTTGTTGATGATGCTGGTGATGATGCTTGTGATGCTGACGATGCTGATGCTGCTGATAATTATGATGATCTTGTATGCAGGGCAAGGGTGATGAGGAGGATGAGGACGATGCTGCTGCTGCTGCCAATGATGATGATGATGACGATGATGATACTGATGAGGATGATTATGCTGCTACCGATGATGCCGATGATGATGCTGCTGATTATGCTGCTGTTGATGATGTTGTTGCTGATAGTGACGCTTTTGATGATGATGATGATGATGATGATGATGTTGATGATGATGATGATACTAATGATGATGCTGCTAATGATGATGATGATGATGATGATGATGATGATGCTCATGCGGATGCAGAAGCTGCTGATGATGACGATGATGATGGTGATGCTGATGATACTGATGATGATGATGATGATGCTGGTGGTGGTGATTATGATGATGCTGATGATACTGCTGCTGCTGATACTGCTACTGATGATGATGATGGTGATGATGAGGACACTGATGATGATGCTGATGCTGATGCTGATGTTGATGCTGATGCTGGTGATGATGATGGTGACGATGATGATGATGATGATGATGATGATGATGATGATGATGATGATGATGATGATGATGATGAGTACGATGATGATGATTACGATGATGATGATGATGATGATGATGATGATGATGATGATGATGATGATGATGATGATGATGATGATGATGATGATGATGATGATGATGATGATGATGTGGATGTGGATGTGGATGTGGATGTGGATGTGGATGTGGGGGATGAGGATGAGGATGAGGATGAGGATGAGGATGATGATCCTGGCTGAGGATGCGGATGATGATTGCTCAAGGCTCAAGCTGAGGCTCAAGGCCGAGGCTCAAGCTGAGGCTCAAGGCGGCAAGACAAGCCGAACACCGCCGAACACCGCCGAACACTCCTCCCCGTCTGCGCCGTCCTTGGAGCCATGGCACCCTCGCGCGGCGCTGCGACTGGCTGGGCGCGCGGTCGCGGCACGTGCCCCCCCCGGCGCATGGGCGCTCTGGGCCGCCGCTGCCACCCTTCACGGCGCCCATGCCGCGGCCTTCGCCGGGGCCTTGCCATGGCCCGCGGCCGAGTGCCCCAGCGCGGGCAGTCTGAGTGCCCTAGCGCGGGCAGTCTGAGGCCCGCCCGGGCAGTGACTGCACGGCCAGAGACGGCCCTGAGGCTCCGCAGGCTGAGAATCTGACCATGGAAATGCTCGATTGGATCGCCCATGAGACCATTCTGCAGGCCACGGGCGCGGCGGGCTCCTGGCCTGCGAGCGCCGCGGGCGACGACATCCAGGTGCACACGGACGGCGGCTGCTCCGAGGCGTGCCAGTTCTGCGGCCTGCGCCAGCTGCGGGACGCGGGAGATCCCAGGAATTGCTGCCAGGCTGACTTCATCACGCCCTGGATCGAATGCCTTACCTGCATCGCCACCCCCGCGAACACCGTCGGGCTCGGGGACAAGGCCTGCCCGCCAGTGGCGCTCTCCAACCGCCTGGCGGAGGCCTTCGCGGAACTGATCGGGCCTCGCGCCAGACGAGAAGACGCAGCCAGTGAGCCTGAGACGGGAACCCGCGCACATAGGGAGGGATGCAGGCACGCCCAGCACCGTCCTTCAGAATTCGAGCGGCTTGGGGGTGCACGTGGTGACTCGGCACCCTCGGCCCTTTTACTTGCATCGCATCGCCCTTCCCCCAGCCCCGCCTCCTTCCGCCACGCCTTGCTGCGAGAGTCTGGGGATGTACACAGCCGATGTCAGGGTGCCGGCTGTCACACCGTTTTCTCGCTTTTTCCTTGCACCGCGCCTCCGGGCCCCCTCCTTCCCACTCTAGCCACCTCCTGCTGCACTGCTTCGCCCCTGCTTGCCTGCCCCCGTGCCCCCGCTCCCGACCCCGCGTCCCTGAACGACCCCAGAAGCAGCATCACCGACTCGACGACGAACGTGACCGCCTGACGACCAACAGCAACACTGTGCAGTGCGAAACCGAGCCGCACCATCCTGACGTTGTCAAGCACTGGCTGCCCCACTGCCCCCCAGCCGCCTGGCCCGCCTGCGCTGCTGGCTGGTCCTGGACGGCTTCGGGGACTCAGAGTCAAAGTGGTCAGCTTTGGACCCAATTACGGGGGCTGCCAGCCCATCCTCGGGCCATATGGTTCGAAATGCGCGTCGCCCTGGCTGCCCCTCGCGATATTTTTCCGGGGTTCTGCCAGGTGGAATCCTCGGGGAGCGTTCGCACTCGCGATGATAACGTCAGCACCCCCCCGTTGCTGAAGAGCACCCCCTTTGTGTATCCCGGTTCCTCTGGGTCCTCCTGGCGGGGGTCCGAGAGTCAGGGGGTGATTCGCAAGGGGTTCTTTCCATCTTCCCGTCCCACCCTAGGCTCCATCCTGTTGTTGATCAGGCTTTCCCTGTAGGTGTGGTCCCTGTCGATCCCGTCGCCCGTGCTGATGCTTGAGAGGTGGCGATCGCGCCTATCCCTCCTGCGGTGCCGCAGAAACGTGCCGTCATCCAGAGGATCAGGGCCAAGGAGCAGGACAGGCAGGCCTGAGCTCCTGTCGTTCGTTTTAGTCATGGGCCTGTTCTCTGAAGCTGTGTTCATGCATGCATTCATTCATTCCTTCATTCGTTCATCCTCCTTTTCCTGTTCGAGGGGGGGCCCGAAGGCCTGTGCACCCATCCGCTCGCTCGTGCCCGCGCCAGATGCGGCATTTTGAAGGATGCCATGGCGAGTGCAATCGCGTATGCAGCTGCAGTCGAGTCTGATGAGTGATGCGACCATGCCACAGCAAATTCAGGAGAGAAAGAAACACACAGACACAATGAATCGTCGATCCCAAGGAAAGTATGGGAAAGTATGGGAATTGGGCGGGAAGACAAAAACCCAGAACATATGGGAAACTATGGGGAATCGTTGTACTTGTGTGTATCTATCTGTGTGTCCTGGGGCCCCTTGACAACTGTGTCCCTTCTGCCCTGGTGCCGCGCGGGCGACCTGCGTGGTCGTGCCCTCCGCAGGGTGCCCTTCGTGGGGCCAGGTTCGGTTCGACCGGCCCGGCCCGGTTCGATATCGTGTCCGGCCGATTCGAGCCGATTCTGTTGCCCGTAGTGGACTTCTATATCATTCAGGAGGGGACAAAACACACAGACACAATGAACCGTCGATTCCCCAGAAAAGATGGGAAAATATGGACAGTGGGGGGGAAGACAAAAACCCAGAAAATATGGGGAAAATATGGGGAGTCCTTTTAGTTGTGTGTATTTTTTTGTGTGTCCTGGGGGCCCCTTCAATAATTCCCGGGCGAAAGCGGGCGTTCGTGGGCGTGCCGGGGGGGGTAGCGCCACGTCTCGCGCTGGCGCTTTTTGGGGGTGCCTGGGGAGCGCCCAGGGCAGCTTGGATCTGTTATGACAGAGCGCGCGTGTTTTGGGGATCTGCTATGGTAGAGTGCTTCTTGTCTTATTTTTCCCAACCCTCCTGCGTTGGGTACTCGTTTTGAATAGAGCACTGTGGTCTCCACCTTCCTTCCTTCCTTCCCGCCCCTCTCTTCGCTCCTCCTCTTCTCTTCTCTTCTCTTGCCTTTTACGTTATCTCTGGGGGGCTGCGATCTGTGAAATTGTCGCCACTTTCGGGGGCTGCTGGGGTGCCCAGCGGAGTGACGCCCTACGGGGATTCAGATTAGACCTCGCCATCCCTGGGGGGCTGCGATCTGTGAAACTGTCGCCACTTTCGAGGGCTGCTGGGGGGCCCAGCGGAGTGACGCCCTACGGGGACTCAGATTAGACCTCGCCATCCCTGGGGGGCTGCGATCTGTGAAACTGTCGCCACTTTCGAGGGCTGCTGGGGGGCCCAGCGGAGTGACGCCCTTCGGGGATTCAGATTAGACCTCGCCATCCCTGGGGGGCTGCGATCTGTGAAACTGTCGCCACTTTCGAGGCTGCTGGGGGGCCCAGCGGAGTGACGCCCTACGGGGATTCAGATTAGACCTCGCCATCCCTGGGGGGCTGCGATCTGTGAAACTGTCGCCACTTTCGAGGGCTGCTGGGGGGCCCAGCGGAGTGACGCCCTACGGGGACTCAGATTAGACCTCGCCATTCCTGGGGGGCTGCGATCTGTGAAACTGTCGCCACTTTCGAGGGCTGCTGGGGGGCCCAGCGGAGTGACGCCCTACGGGGATTCAGATTAGACCTCGCCATCCCTGGGGGGCTGCGATCTGTGAAACTGTCGCCACTTTCGAGGGCTGCTGGGGTGCCCAGCGGAGTGACGCCCTACGGGGATTCAGATTAGACCTCGCCATCCCTGGGGGGCTGCGATCTGCGAAACTGTCGCCACTTTCGAGGGCTGCTGGTGGGTCCAGCGGAGTGAGGCACCATGCAGATTCAGATTAGACCTCGCCATCCCTGGAGGGGGGCGATCTGCGAAACTGTCACACCTTTCGAGGGCTGCTGGTGCGTGCAGCGGAGTCAGGCACCACGCAGATTCAGATTAACCCCCGCCATTTCTGGGGGGCTGCGATCTGCGAAACTGTCGCCACCTTCGAGGGCTGCTGGTGGGTCCAGCGGAGTGAGGCACCACGCAGATTCAGACTAGACCTCGCCATCCCTGGGGGCGGCGATCTGCGACACTGTCGCCACATTCGAGGGCTGCTGGTGGGTCCAGCGGGGTGAGGCACCACCCAGATTCAGATTAGACCTCGCCATCCTTGGGGGGCTGCGATCTGCGAAACTGTCGCTACATTCGAGGGCTGCTGGTAGGCCCAGCGGAGTGAGGCACCACCCAGATTCAGATTAGACCTCGCCATCCCTGGGCAGTTGCGATCTGCAGCGCTGTCCCTGGGGGGCCGCTCTATGGCTGCACCTCTACGTGACGCTCTGCAGGGCGACGATGATAGACAACCTATTGATGGTGCGCGACCCCGGCCTTGACTTTCTTGCCCGCGGCCCACTAGCAGACCTGGCGGAGAAAACTGCAGAAGTTCAGTTCCCGCACTGCAACGTGCAGGAAGGTGGCAGAGAAGCTTGCGAGAGAGCTAGGTCTCGCTCGCATCTTGCACTCGATATAAGCATGTTTGATCCTGTGATCAGACAGCAGGCATGCGTTGTTCGAGCTCCTGCAACAACGAAGCAGTCTCTTGCTTCCTCCAACCTCTTGTATCATCACCGCCCTAGTCCTCCTGTCACCCTATGCATTCACGCTGCTGCTGCTGCCGCGATGGCTCATCGCCCCTTCCTATTAGGTTCGTCAATCTCCTGTCCTTCGATCCAGCCCCCGCTATTGTTAACAAGCCTTGAGACATATTCCTCGTCTTATCGATTGCTGTCCTGAAAGACGTGCAACATTACGTATCACATGTAGCTTGTACTACACATCGCCGCGCATGCGCTGTCATTGATCCTGCTAATGTTTCCCATCTCCTCTTGCCACTTGATACCATTGGGTTGGGTACGTCGCAGGGTATTTTTTTCCTCTTCCTCCTCAACCTCCTCGTCGGCGCCGCCGTCGTCGTCGTCGTTGTCGTCGTCGTCGTCGTCGTCGTCGTCGTCGTCGTCGTAGCGTTCCACTTCTCGTCGCCTTCGTCTTCTTCCTATTGCAGCGTGCTTTTTGCAAGGGCGCACGGAACACGGGGAGGGTGTTGGGAGGAAGGGGGGGTCGAGAGAGGCGGGGCCAGGCAGCATCGACCTGTTTGGCTACACTTGTACTGTAAGAGGAGCAGGAGAGACAAAAAACCAAGGACACGCTTTGCCGTAGCAGATCCCTATAGCTTGTAGGTGCGCGCCCTCTGCTACGGCTCTGCCGTAGCAGATCTCTATAGGGGTGTGCTATCCGATATGTCCTTGGTTGTGCATTCCCAGACGGGCGCCGGCGCAAAACGTGACGTCATCGAAGGGTGGGCGGGGCCGGTAACAGCCGCTGTCGCGAAAAATGCGAAAATGCTTTCTAGTGTGACGATCGAACCTGTTTCCCGATTCGATGCTGCCTGATCCCGCCTCGCCCCGCAGCGACCGCCGCCGCCGCCGCAGACGCCCCCGCAGCCGCCGCCGCAGCCGTCGCAGCCGCCGCCGCAGCCGTCGGCGCAGCCGTCGCAGCCGCCGCCGCAGCCGCCGCAGCCGTCACACAGCCGCTGCAACCGCCGCAGCCGCCGCAGCAGTCGCCGCAGCCGCCGCAGCCGCCGCAGCCCCCCCCCCATCCCTTCCCGGTCAGGCGGAGGCAAGGGTGCTGGCGGCTCGAAGGGCGCGCCCCGTCCCGTCCCCATCCGCGCCGCTGCCGCCGCCCACCGATGCTCCCGCTGGCGGACCGCCGCTGGCGGACCGACACTGGCGGTCCCCGTCTGGCCGCGGGGCCCAGTTGGGTTTGGGCCTACCCAGATTTCCGAAAATATTCGGAGGAGGAAAACTCTGCAGATCCACCTCGCTCACATTCCCCCCCGCCCATAAAACAGGAACATAATGAGAAGAGGAGGGGAACGGATGAGGAAGGAGGTGGAACTGTTATTCGCATTTTTCCCCTGTCGATTTCGGCATCCAGGGCCCGTTGTCAGGCCCTGGGGCTACCGAAATAAACCTGAAACGAACATCTGGCGCAGGGGAAGGGGGCGGTAACTCTTTGGGGCCACGGATTGAAATCATCATATCGGAGGATGTCTAGGTGAGGCGCCGGGGAGCAAACGGGTCTTGAGGGAACCGGGGCCTGCGGTTATTCGCCGCCTTGGGCCCTTGGGCCGCGAGAAGTCGGTTCAGGAGGAAACGCTGCTTCTGGAGAAGTGCCCTGGGGTCCAGGACCCGTTTGCCTCAGGCCCTCTTGACTCATGCAGAGGAGGCCCATGCCAAGAAACACCATGCTTGCCTCCACGGTGCCCTGGGTTTCTTAGGTTTCGATGGTTTTGCGATGGGAAGCGTGACGTCTCCACACCAAACATCGATGGACGTCCTGGGGCCTCAGGGTTCAGTTTCCGGTGGAAGGTTTCTTTGTGGACTGGCCTCCACTGCACCATCCTACGATCGGTTGTTGCCAGGGGTGGTCCTCTCTTGCCTCTGCGGCCGCCCCCTCGCCCCGCCGCTGCACCGGGCCTCGGGTCTCGGGAGGGAATGCAGGATCGCTGACGTGCCGCCGTTGGGAGCCCGCCAGCGTGCTGCTCGCTTGGGTTTTGTTCGATGGCCACGTGCCCGCTCAGCACTCACGCCCTGATGGGTTCCCCGTGGCGGCGTGTCGTGGCGTAGGCGTCGACCCACAGAAGGTGTTTGGGCAATCTCGTGGGTCGTCTTCGGTCTGGTGCCGTGTTCCGGCAGGGGCGGAGCGAAGGCAGCACGAGGGACAGCGAGAAAACAAGCCGAACCCGCGGAACACTGTTTTGGTCGATCCCTGTCGTTGATACGGGCTTTGCTCCCCAGAGCTCGCGCGTGTGCGCCCCGCGTCCGCCTCACGGGCTCGGGCCGTGCCCGCGTCGGTGCTGGCCCAGAGGACAAAACAACAAAGCGCTGCCGGTGGTAGCCTTGGCCCCGGGTGGCGCCGAGATTCCCAGGGAGGCCAAGGCGGCCTCCATGGCAGCCCTCTCGCGAGGGGAACAAATCACACAGACACAACTGGCGGTCGCTGGCCAGGAACAGGTGGAACCTAATTATGGGAAGTTGGTTGGAGAGGACGAGCATCCCGAACATGTGGGAAGCTATGGGGAATCTTGGAATTTGTACCTGTTTATTGAATCGCTTCGCTCATTCCGCCGGCCCATACGGTCTCATGTCTGCCGTTTGCCCGAGGGCCTGGTGTCAATGCGGCGCTTTGAGGGTTCCTGGGGCCGCTTGGGGGACTCCTGGGGCGCTCGGGGGGGCATTTGGGGGGCCTCCTGGGGCCGCTTGGGGGACTCTTGGGGGCCTCCTGAGGGCCTCGTGGGGGCCTCTTGGGGCCTCTTAGGGGCCTCTTGGGGCCTCGTAGGGGCTTCTTAGGGCCGAGGGCGCGAAATTTTGTTTCGTGTTCCCTCTCTGGGGCCCCTTTGGGGGTGTTCTTGGGGCCCTCTTGGACCGTCTTGGAGGCTTCTTGGGCCGTCTTCGAGCCCTCTTGGGCCATCTTGGGGCCCTCTTGGGGGCCTCTTGGGCCCTCTTGGGGCGATCTTGGGGGCCTCTGGGGCCGTCTTGGGGCGTCGGGAACCGAAAAGGTGGAAGCTCCAAAATCTCTCAAAAACCTAAGGAAAAACAATGAATTTTGCCTCCGGGGGCCCTCTTGGGAGTGCTCTGGGAGGCCTCTTGGGGCGTCTGGGGGCTATCTTGGGCGTCTTGGAGCGATCTTGTGGCATGTCGGACCCCTCGTGTACCATCTTGGGGGCCTCTTGGGGGCCTCTTGGCCTTTCTTGGGGCTCTCGGGGACGTCTCGGAGCCCTGTTGGTGCGCTCATGGAGCGCTCCTGGAGCGCTCTGGGGGACTCCTCCCGGGACTCTTTCAGGACCTTGCCGGGGTACTTTTCGTCCGGGGACCCCCAGGGGCCGCCCCGCGCGCGCGAACTAGAGAATTCTGAACCAGTTACTGGAGATCTTAGCACGCCTCTGGCCCGTTGGGCCGGCGAATTTTTTTTTTTGTGTGTGTGTGTGTGTGTGTGTGTGTGTGTGTGTGTGGGTGCCTGGGCCCCTGGAGAATCCCCCGGGGGCACGGAGGCACCTTTCATGGAGCCCCCATCCCACCCTCCCAGGGCGCTCCTCGCCTGGGCCCCAAGGGCGGCGCGAGGGAGGAGGCCCCCTCAGACAGCGGCGGGGCTTCTCAGGAGCCCTCGCGCCTTCGAGAAGTGTTCTGCGTCTTCTGGGGAGGGCTTAGGAAGCTTCGCAAGGGTGGGGGGACTTCTGAGCCTTCTGAGAAGGCCCGCCCCCTCTCACATTCCCCCCTGCGCTCGCCGTCGATTCTAGCAGCCCAGAGGTGGTCCTGTTCCACGGTGGCGCTGAGATCTCCTTTTCCCGACTGCATCCTTGTCTGGATTTGTGAAAGACCTCCTGCCTTCGTCTTGCATGCCTCCGTCTCTCATGCCTCCTCCCATGCCTCCTGCCGGCTGCCTCCCGTCTGCCTCCCGCATCGCCTCCCGGGCGCTGGTTTAGCGGAGGTGCGGCCCGTTGTTTGTTTGCAAGGTCCTGCGGGCGCAGTGCAGTGTGCTGCCTCACTGTGCTCTTGCCAGCCCCGTGCGGACGACGTGCGCTACTTCTGGGGCTGCTTGCGTCGAGATGCCAGAGGGCGCGCTGAGGGCGGAAGCGGAAGCGGAGGAGGAGGAGGAGGAGGAGGAGGAGGAGGAGGAGCAGGAGGAGCAGGAGGGGAGGAGGAGGAGGAGGAGGAGGAGGAGGAGCAGGAGGAGAAGAAAGAGGACGAGGAAGAGGAAGAGGAAGAGGAAGAGGAATGAAGATGATGATGATGATGATGATGATGATGATGATGATGATGATGATGATGATGATGATGATGATGATGATGATGATGATGATGATGATGATGATGATGATGATGATGATGATGATGATGATGATGATGATGATGATGATGATGATGATGATGATGATGATGATGATGATGATGATGATGATGATGATGATGATGATGATGATGATGATGATGATGAGGAGGAGGAGGAGGAGGAGGAGGAGGAGGAGGAGGAGGAGGAGGAGGAGGAGGAGGATGAGGGAGGAGGAGGCGAAGAAGATACAATAATAAGAGGAGGAGGAGGAGGACAGGAGAAGAAGGGGGCTGAAGATCAGAAAGAGGACTATCAGGATGATGGTAATGCAGACGCGGTGGGGGGGGCACTGGGGAGAGAAGAAGGAAGATGTATGGGGATGTGGAAAAGGATGATGAGGATGACGAGTATGATGAGGATGAAGAGGACGCTCGTGGCGTAGGCGGAGGCGGATGAGGCGTCAGTCGTGGAGGCGTCAGTGGCGGAGACGGAGGCGGAAGAGGCGGAGGAGGGCGTGGATTAGGACTAGTAGGAGGATCTCCTGCCGCGTCCGCGCGGCGCCCGTCTCGTCCCAGGCAAGGGTAAAGGCAAGGGCAAGGGCAAGGGCAAGTTCAGCAAGGGCCTGGGCCTGCAAGGCGTGCGCCCTCGGGGTCCGCCCGCTCGCTGCTCTTGCCAATCTCCTCCTCTCGCCACGGGACATGGCCCATGTCGATCCGGTCGATCCTATTCGATATCGACTTTGGCCCGCCCGACCCAGCTTCGACTGAGGTACCCCTGCGGTCCGACGCGGCCCGATGCTTGCGCGGCGCCGTTGTGCATCCTGGCGCAGACGATCCGATTCGGTTTCGACCCCGTGCCGATGCTGGCCGACCCGACGCAAGTTCCGATCCGCCTCGATGTCCCGATTTGATGCTGACGGATCCTGTGAAGGGCAGGGTCGGACGGGGCTAGGACGAGGATAAATCCGTTCCAGAGCGTTCCGGAACACTCTCAGAGCGTTCCAGAGCGCTCTGAGAAGGCCGCGGCGCCCGAGACATCTTCCAGTGCCGCCGGATCTCAGAGATTTTCGATTTATTCTCACCCGATTTTGTCCTCGTCCTGGCTTCGTCTTACAGGAGGCCCCGATGAGGCCCACCGAGGTGTATCGCCGTCCCCGGCCTTCCAGGGGTCCGCTGACCTCACGTGCCTTGGGGCCGTCGAGAGGTGCCTCGGGGTGAGGGGGCAGTCCCGGGGGGGGAGCCCCAGTGCAGTCCTCGGGAGCCTTGAGATGGGGGTCACTGCAAACGGGGGTCAGCCAGGGCGCCGGATCTTGCAGGATCCTGCAGAGCCAGGGGTGCAGGGCAGGGGTACATCTTAAAGGATCCGGCAGGATCCTGCAGGATCGCGCAGGATCCTGCAGGGCCTATCTGACCCCGGGTTTGCATGGACCTGGGTCAGTGCGTCCCCAGTTCAGCACATGCTCAGGACCCCCCTCCCTCATGTGCCGATTTCCTCCTAGTCCTCCCAGGGAGCGCCCCTCTGAGCGCGAGGCCCGTCTCGCCCCTCTCCCGTCGCTTCCCACCCCTGATTATCCCGCCGGCGGGCTGGCCACTGGCATCTTCATCTCATTCCTCCTCGTTTGCTTCTCTCTCCTACAAGCTCCGTGCAGCCGGTTTGGGCCCCGCGTGGGCCAGGCACTTCCATCGATAGATGGTCGTTCCCAGCGCCTCCAGGCTCCGGGCAAAACCAGCTGCACGCAGCTGATCCGCTTCTCCCCTCATTCTGGCTATCCCCTCCTTTGTCTCCTCCCCTCTCCCCGCCCTCCCATCCCCTCCTCTTCCGCCGCCCGTCCCCACCCGCACGGGCCAGAACGACAGGCCTGGGCCCGCGTTCAGACCTGCCGCCGGGCAGGGGGCCCCATGAGGAGGAGGAGGAGGAGGAGGAGGAGGAGGAGGAGGAGGAGGAGGAGGAGGAGGAGGAGGAGGAGGAGGCAGGGGTCCACATGGCCCATGTGGATCTTTGATCCTCTCCTGGCGGTGTGTCCCGTGCTGGGGTGCTCCACGCCATCCATCCTGTCGCCACCTCCGCGGCGTTTATGACCTTATGGGAGTTCGCGCGACGGTGCTGCTCGCGGCAGAAGCCGCCCGAGCCCTTCCAGAGACCCGGAGCTAAAACGCCGCGGCCGCAGCAGAAGCCATCCGCCGGAGGCCTTGGCTCTGGCCGAAACATTTTTTCTGGCAGTCCTGTAGAGCAGTCGGGGACAACGTTGGGGGGACAGGCTCAGGGGGGAACGCATCGCCGACAAGGGCCTGACAGTTCACCGCGCCCAGGAACGTGCGCTTCCGCTACCGAGGGCCGATCGCCAATCATCTGCGATGTAATCGCCGATTCCAGGATTCCAGGTCGATGTCCCCCCCCGAAAGCTGGTCCCCCTTATCGTTCTCTCTCAAGTTAGGTAGGTTAACCCTGGAGCTCACGCACTCCCTCCTTCCTGAGACCCGACGTTGCGAACGCAAATGCAACATCGCGAACAATCACGACCACATCCCCAGACCATACTTTCCGGCTTCATTTCCAACTAGATCGATCTGTCATGGTCCTTGGGCCCAACAGACTCCGTTGCCACGGCCCAAGCACGGAGGCGGATGGGGCCGACGGCCATTAGATCCGCCACCATAGCCTGCAGAGGGGTATCTGCATGCCAGATTGTATGATAATCATGTGGGGCCCTTACATTGTTCACCCCGCCGTAAGTACGTCTCGTGGGCTTCTCCGTGCAAGCGAGTTCCGCTCGCAAGAATCAGGCCGCCCAGAACAGGGGGGGGACCGTGTTTTTCTATCCCTTGGCGATGACGGGCGTGACGGGGGGAGGGGCAGGGGGGCAGGGGCGCCAGGCACGTCACGACTCGCGCCGGCGCCGTCTGGGAATGCCCAGCAATGTCTACTTCCCACCAATCGTGACGTCACCAGGGGGGGGGGGAGGGAGGGAGGGGGGAGGGGAGGCGAGGCCAGTCACAAGTGTTATCGCGCATCATCTTGTCTCCGTGCAGGGTACAGGCACAAGGGGGGAAACTCGGGGATCCACTTCATAGGGGGCTTTTCGGACCCACCCCTACTGAGGACGGGCGCACCCCCTTTCGTCTATCTCCGATTTCGGCTTCAAACGTTCGGTCCATTCGAAAACCAACAGAATGTCGAGGGTTGGGCTCGCCATGCCCCCCGCCGACCCCCCCTCCGAGGCGACGCCGACGAGGCCGCGGAGCTGGCCGCGGCGGGAGGCGCCCGCGTCGACCGCGGCCGCCGCCGCTGCCGTCTTTTGGGCCTCCCCGGGTGCTTCCTCTTCGGCGGGGTCCTCCGGCACGGAGAGTGGCTAGAACGTTGCGGTGACGCGGCATCCACATCCAGGACAGCTTCCCCCCCCTCTCCTCCTCTGGCATCAGCTTTTTACTGTCTCGTTGCTCACGTGCGTGATTGTCTCGCTGTTTCTATGCACGGCCGCTTGAGTTCCAAGAGTGCACGTTTCAGGAGGCCACGGCCTCTCCCACCGGGTCTTAGGAGGTAGGCCCAGACGGCTGTCCGCAGCGGTGGTGGGATTCAGGGGCGATTGCAGGGGCGCCCGTGCCACTCCACCCTGCAGCAGAGAACACGGAGCGCTCATGAGCCAGGACAAGTGGAAGCGCGCGACGCACGGAAGGAATCGACCCAGGCAACTGGTGTCTCGGTGCGTTTTCGTCGGTTCTCGGGGCTTTCCCGGCGGGGTCCCGTGCGGTGGAGAAGCGCTGAGGTGGGTAAGGGTGATTAACCCTCGCCGCCCTGGCGAGTTCACCTCGTCTTACTGCCTCCCTGTCCCCAGATACTATTTGGGTCTGTAGGGCATTGGGGCCCAGGATTGCCATCGAGGATTCCTGCAGCCTGGGGGCGAGGTAGCCCTCCAGGACCGGTTCGGGAATGAGGGCCGAGCCAGTGGGCCGTTGAGCTTCGGGATGCTCGCCAGCAGCTGCGCCTCGCCGAGGGGCGTGTCAGGGTGCCCGTGCCGCCCGAGGGTCGAGCTATGGCCCGCGAGCGTGTCGTCGGTCGGCGCGGTCGCGGCTTTGCAGAGGTCGCGGCTATTGAAGGACTGGTTGCACATGCCATCCCACTGGGCGCTCACAGGCTCGGCCAGCGCGCCGTCGGTTTCATCGAGCTCCCCGCCATGATGGCCGCTTTGGGGGCGTTTTCTCAGCGCCTTGGCCCGCTGGCCGAATCCGCGAGAGCTCTGCAGGCCTCTAGTCTCGGTTGCCAATGCGTCGGCCACAGTGACTTGCCATTTTGGCACTTCGGTAGCGGAGTGCTTTCAGGGCATTCTCATTGTGGATTACCGATGACAGCCAGCCCCAGTCTGCAGCACACCCGATTCAGCAGCTCAGCGTGCGATGCCGCACATGCAGCACCTCGGCCAGCCATTGCCGTCCGTGCCAGCCATTCGCATCAGTATCATATTGCTTCTGTAGCACAGACCAGCCTGATCTATTTGGTAAACTTTCAACGATAAAGGAATGTGTAACGCGAGGTTTGGCGGAGAGTACCTTGACAGCGCGTCACACGCAGAGTTTTTCCCAACCATCCTGTGGTGTTGGGTCCTCGTTTTGAAGAGACAGCGCCCCGCGTTCCCACCTTCCTCCCGCTGCCCCCCTCCCAGTGGGTGTGCCCGCATGCGTCCCGCACACCCATTTCGGCACACCCCTCACACGTTTCGTGGCCCCATAGGGAGCTCCACCGAAGGCCCCAGTGGTGTGCCCGCATGCGTCCCGCACACCCATTTCGGCACACCCCTCACATTTCGTGGCCCCATAGGGAGCTCCACCGAAGGTCCCAGTGGGTGTGCCCGCATGCGTCCCGCACACCCATTTCGGCACACCCCTCACACGTTTCGTGGCCCCATAGGGAGCTCCACCGAAGGTCCCAGTGGGTGTGCCCGCATGCGTCCCGCACACCCATTTCATCACACCCTTCACATATTTCGTGGCCCCATAGGGAGCCCCACCGAAGGTCCCAGTGGGTGTGCCCGCATGCGTCCGCACACCCATTTCGGCACACCCCTCACACGTTTCGTGGCCCATAGGGAGCTCCACCGAAGGTCCCAGTGGGTGTGCCCGCATGCGTCCCGCACACCCATTTCGGTACACCCCTCACACGTTTCGTGGCCCCATGGGGAGTTCCACCGAAGGTCCCAGTGGGTGTGCCCGCATGTGTCCCGCACACCCATCTCGGCACACCCCTCACACGTTTCGTGGCCCCATAGGGAGCCCCACCGAAGGTCCCAGTGGGTGTGCCCGCATGCGTCCCGCACACCCATTTCGGCACACCCCTCACACGTTTTGTGAGGGCGGAAGAGGGCAATGAAGACTAGAAGCTGACAGCAGCTTGCACTGTTTTCCGTTCTCCCCCACAGGTCTTTGTGCATGAACCTTCCTCGTACTCAGTACTCCGCGGGCCTCGTGCCAGCTGCGGTTGCGCAGTTCGTGGTTGCCCATTTCTTGTTTCGACTTTCTTTTTCGGTTGGGACAGGGGGGGGCTTGGTTGGGATGGGGTGGTATGACATGGCGTTGCAAGAGCGTGCAGGCCAGGGCGCATCGTCCGCTGCACCACCGCCGCGAGGCGGACTCAAAACAACATAGGACTCGGCGGTTTGCCCGTTACTTCGCACATTACCACCCCCACGTGTCAACGTCTTTGCCGTACTCTTCACGTTTGCAGTTGCTGTCGCTACCATAGTACGCAACACGCCCGGGGTAATACCCCAAATGGCCAGCCAACACCGCTTGTGCCAGCCCCCAACAAAGTAGACAATGACCAACAACCCCGCCATCCGGAAGCCGCCGCCTAGTTTTTTCTTCAACCTGGCTCCAGCGTCGGGGATGGGACACGGGCTTACTTACATGGGGCATACAGGGGGGGGGGTCGTGTTGCCTGCCGACCTTTCATTTACTAGTCGGTACGCCAGTCGTATGCTCTCTTCTTCGTGCATGGTTGTCACGACTTGAACTTTGCTTGCGCACCCCTTCGTTCGGTGCCTCCCCGTATTCCATCACTCCCGCCAGTTCCTCGAGGACCGCGTCTATCTTTTGTTTGCGCGGGGACGTGTTTTGTACTCAGTTGTTTGGCCTTGTCTTTGTAAGGTTACACGCACGCCTCGCTAGAATATGTCGCCGCAGAAGTTAAGTCGTATCGCGTACATAGACTATGTCACGGCGAACGCTACACACTTATTTCGTGCTTGAAGTTTGCCGGACGATTCAATGATGAGGAGGAGAAGCAGGAGCAGGAGCAGGAAGAGGAGGAGGAAGAAGAAGAGGACCGACGAGGCATCGGGAGAAGGAGCAGCAGGAACGATGCAGGCAATTGGGTGACGGAGCATGAGGGCGGAGGACGAGGACGGCGACGACGGAGAAGGAGAATGATGATGAGGATGAGGATGAAGGGGCCGCCGCTGCGCTCGCCCAGACCCCCGGAAGCAGATCGAGCTGGCGCAGAGGCGCGCGAAGCAGCGGGACCGCTCGGCCATCAGCCAGGCGGGCCCCCGCCTCCGCGCGCCCCCCCCCTTCGGGAGGTTCCCAGAGAAGGCTCGGGAGGTGCTCGGGGGTCTTCCTCGAGGAGAGGAGCACGACGGCCATGGCCAAGCCGTCGCGGGAGCTCTTTGTCGCCGGTCTTGGTCATGGGCCATGTCAGCCGTCGCGGATTTGCGAGGGTCATCTACGAATCGACGGTGGCCGAGATAGACGGTGACCAAGATCGGCACCGACGTTTCCGCGTTCATTCTTGGTCGTTGTCACCGTTTCTTTTCCCTGCAGTCCGGTGGGTTTCGGGACTTGCGTCATGTGAGAACCTGGGTGGTTTCCTGCAGGTGCGCCTCGCCGAGAGCCTATTTGGGGATGCCCGCAATCTTCCTGGACGGCCGCCCATCCTCTCGAGTTGGACAGCGTTTTTCATACTCCGTGGCGATAAGAGGCGTGACCTGGTGTGGGGACTGGGGGGGGGACGGAGCTGGTCACGTCGCGATTCGCGCTGGGGCCGTCTGGGAGTGTTTCGGGATGTCTAATTTTGCTTACCGCGCCAGCGCGAATGGAGACGTGACCAGCAGGGCGGGGGGCGGGGCCGGTCACTGGCGCGATCGCGAATAACAAAAAGGGTCTTGTGGCCCTAGGGCCAACCTGGGGTGTCGCGGGTTCGGTCCGCTTCGGCTGCGCGATCGGCCAGTCCCACAGGTGCCCAGTCAGGCCGTCCTGTTGACAGCAGGGCGGCCTGACAGGAACCGGACCAGACCAGGAAGCGTGCCAGCTGCGCGGCAACGGCCCGTTGCCGCGCTGCTGGTGCGCTTCTTAGTCTGCCTGCAGCCTGCCGGCTTCGGTCTGGCTCGTCGGCGTCGCCGTTTGCCGCGCCCAGTGGTCGACCTTGCCGTCGCGGGTTGCGCTGCCTTCGCCGCCGCCTAGCGCCCCGTTGGCACTCGGAGGGCCCCCGCGGGGGCATCCGCCACGCGCAGAGGGGGGTAGGGGGACGGCGGAAGGCTTCTTATAGAAGGAGGCTGCCTCTTATCGGGGGAGCGTAAGACCCGGGTTTGCCGGGACTCGGGTTCGCCATCGTTTTTTGACTACCGCGACTCGGATTTTGACGAGGAGGAGTTTTGTGGGATGTCTGCAGCGGGAGGCCTCGTCAAAATGCAGGCTCGGCCTCGTCATTTTTTTGACGACCTCGTCGGGGATTTCCGAGTCCCCCGTACCCGGGTCTTACGTCTCCCCGATCTTAGATGGTTCAGGCCTCATCTGGATATGATGTCATGCTGGCGCCTTCTGAGAGGCAGCCTCCTTCTAAGGAGGCCCCCCCCCTTCCCCTACCCACCCTGTGCGCGCCGCCATTCCCCTGCGCCACGGTCGCGCGGGCTCGGCCTGCCCGGGTCTGCACGCCTGCCGCTGGGCCCAGCGGCCCCGGCCCAGACGGGCTTCGTGGGCGCGCCGCCGCCGCCGTCGTCGCAGGTTGTCGTCGTCGCCGTCGCCGTCGCCGTCGTCGTCGCCAGTCGTCGCCGTTGTCATCGCCAGTCGTTGTCGTCGTCGTCGTCGTCGTCGTCGTCGTGGTGGTCGGCGTGGTGGTGGTGGTGGTGGTCGTCATCTTCGTCGTCGATGGTCGTCGGTGGTCGTCATAGGTTGTTATAGGTCGTCGTCGTTGGTCGTCGTCGTCATAGGTCACTGTCGTCGTCGACGTCCTCGGAGGAGGAGGCGAGGAGGAGGTTGTCGTCGTCATCCGTCGTCGTCGTCTTCGTCGTCGTCGCCGTCTTACGTAGATCTTTGTAGTTGTAGTGGTGCTGGTCGTCGTCGCCCTCGCCCTTCTAGTCCTGCTGCGGGCTGTTCTTTTCAATCCCGGCGAGGTTTCCCTCCATCCTGGCCTCCGCGGGTCCATCATCGGAACCTAGGGCCGTCAAAAACGGAATTGAGAACAACAGCTGGCCCGAGGGAAGATGTCGAGGTGTCTGTTGCTTGTAAGAGGACAAATCAAGCGGGTCACACGTTAAACGCTCCGCCAGAATGACCTTCGGTGCGCGGATGTCGGTGGGCGCGGGTGTCCGCGGTTTGATCGGTTCGGCTGCGTCGCAGTCGCTCGGTACGGTTCGGTCGGCAGTCGCGTCCTTCAGGCTGCCTTCGGCCCGTCCGTTTCGGTTCGGTTTCGCTACCGGTGTCGGTAGGTGTTTGGCCGTGCCATTATCGTGGACGGCTTAATTTCAAAGGTGGGCCCAGGTCGAGCAGCTGGCCCCCGGGGATCCAGCTACGCGTAATAATGACCCTTTGCCGCAGCGAGCTTGGGTGCGGGCCCACAGGGATCCCCCCAGCACTGCTCCAGGGCTCGAGCTGAACACGGTGTTTTGGCGATGTCGTGGACCGTTTTCGTTTGAAACTTCTTTCGCAGCCAAGGCATACCGAATACAGAACGAAGCAACACGAAAACAACATTAACACGAAAAGACTGGTTAGCTCCAGCCCTGCGCTGGCCTGCACGCCTGGATCTGGCCCTCCAGCGCATCATGGGTGAGGCCATTTTGGCTCAACTGCTTGAACTTCGGGCTCAAGCTATCTTGGCCAAGCTTCACCGGCCAAGTCCAGTTGCTGCCAGCTCCGCCCACGCCGTGCTCCTGGGATAGGCCAGATGCTGCCACACGACTTCACGGCTTTCTCGTTCGATCACAAGTTCATCATATAGCAGCTCACATGTGCTGGACGGTGTTTTTTTTCCAGACTGCCTACATCATGTTGCCGCTGGGAATCGATGCGGTCATCGCTAGAACCACGGAGACAGTGGCAGTTACGCAAGAGGAGTTGTTTACCAAATGGCAGACACTGCCGCCTCGAGGACCGCGGCCCAGTTTGAAGGCAATATGCAGGCGATTGCGGATCAGGCTGTGGAGGCGGCGATCGACCCCCCCCTCAAAAAAAAAGGGAGGACATTGAGGCCAGAAAGGCAGAGGCTCACGGAGGCGTCCTCAGGTGGGTCTACGGCAACCGCAGTGGGACGCCACATTCCGGAGGGCACTGAGATCGGCGGCTGCATTTTGAATTTGTCCGACCTGGACGTTTCGGCGATGACAAAGGGGTGCGATGACATTTTGCGCGGGTCCAGCCCCGAGCCGAAGGAGCTGGTGAACGTGACGCGCACGCATTCTGTACTAGCCGGCAATTTTTTCCATCACGAAGTTCCGATTTTCTTGATCACCCCATATATGAAGAAGGCAGCGGCCCTGCGAAAAGCCGTGGGGAAGCAGATGAGCTACATGGGCACGAGGTTCAACAGTAAGACGCTGTTCGTGATTGTCCAGGGTGACCCCGAGGACCGCGACCTCTGCAAAACCGCGGCAGTATTGTGCAGTGTGGCAGAGGAGGCCCAGGGCGACAAGACCCTGTTCAAGGTGGAGTACATTAGGAGAGGCCCGCGCCGGGCGCTCGGCTTCTTCCAGCACCGGTTGGTGCTCGACGAGATCCTCTGTGCGGTCTCGTTCGAGCGTCGCGGTCGAGAGAGCTGGGTTCGTGTCCAGGGCGCTCAGCAGCCGGGCGCTGTGGAGCGCCTTCGCCAGGGAAGTGGCAGGACAGATCGGGCGGGAAAACATTGCTGATTACCCGTGATCAGCAGGAACGTGGGTGACGTTATCATATTGCACTACACAGTAGAAGGCCTGCACGAGGAACAGCGACTTGGCTTTGGCTCTCCAGGAAATTATCAGTTGAGCGGGGGATCGGGACAAATCGGAACCAGAGATTTTGGGAGAGTTCCAGAGAAAAATAGAACGCCGATTTGTGGAGCGTAGCGCGCGCATTCGCAGAAGTCCCCAAAGAGTGTTCGACGGCTTGATGAGCCCAAGTAACACATGGGCGCTCAATTCAACTGTTGAGGGCGGGCAGAAAATCTGGTGTGCACGAGCATTGTGAGCGGGTGCGCGGCTTGCACGGGGGGCGCAGTAAGTTTGCGTTTCAGCGACTTGGGCGCTGGCCAATGCGCTGATGGAGGGCCCGAGAATGCGTCGCACATATTACTACGCCTGTGGCGCCATGGAGGCCGCATTTGCGGTTGCAGTTGGGCGGGCGCCCCGCCGCGCGCACCGCGGCGACAGCTCTTGGGCGCCCGCCCGCCGCCGTGGACGTAGTGGACCCAGCTCGTCTCTCGGTCGGCGCGCGGCGGGTCGGCGGCCACGACGCTGGCGGCCTGAAAATGCTTCGAAAGTGTTTCTCCCCGAGCCCGGGGCTATTGTACGTTTTCGGTGGCACGCGCAGCTAGGAGAAAAGTCGCCTTGTCCGTCGGCGGCCAGTTGGCTGTCGTCGCGCAGAAGTACCGGCGGATGGCGCGGTCCACGCTCAGCGCAGAGAGCGTGTCCATGAGCGTGGACTCGTCGAGGGGCAGGAGGAAGGACCTCGCGGTCGGGACCACCGCGGCCCGCGATGTCCACGGCCCCCACCCTGGGCCCGCGAGGACCTGCCGGGCGCCGCCGCAGCGCGATTTCAGAGAATCTCGGAACCAGAAATCCGAGCGCGCCAAATTTCGCGGGCCGAAAAACTCTCAGAGAGTTTCGGCCAGCTCCGAGGTTTTGGGTTTATGGGAACGTTTCACGCGGGGTGGCTGGTTCAGAGATTTTCAGAGATTCTCAGAGAAGTTCGGACGCGAGAATTTGGCGCGCCCCGGTTTCTGGTTCTGTGAATCTCTGAAAAGCGGTTCCTTAGGTTTTACCAGGTCTCCAGGCGTCCTACTGTCAGCCAGAGACGAGCGATTGGCTGGCGCCGCGCCCGATGCTTCCGGAGTTGCGAACTTGGTCTTCGATTCCCTGGGGCCCGCGGGCCCCTGGGCCAATCGCGAGGTTGCCGAGGCCCCCAGGCGGTTGCGCGCGATTGTCTCGGAAACCGGAGTTGGGCATCCATGGTGGACGCCCGCGCGTACGCGCTGGGTGTCCGCGAGATTGTTCGGCGGCGCATCTTGCATGGCGCGGGGACTTTCCAAAGACTTTCCAGGGTGTTCTGTACGGTTATTTCGGCGCGCTTCGGTAACCTTGGGGCGGCGCGGGGAAGTCGCCTGGCCGCGCGCGGGACTTTTTTCCCATGCCTTCTTGGGCATTATCGTGGTGTTGCGTGGCCGAAGAGGTCATTGAGTAACGCGCTTTTTGGTATTTTCGTGTTTTTTCGTTGCGTTGGTTGCGTGATTGTTTGGGCGGTCCGCCTCCTTGGGGCCCCCTTGGGGCCTCAAGTTTGTTTTGTTGACGTCGGGCCTTCTGGAGTGAAAGGCGCTTGGCGCTGAATTCCCTCGGGGGCGCGCGTGGCCAAATACGCGCCGTGGCTTCATCCGCGCCGGGGCGCATTTCTTCCCTCGCGAAGCCGATGGCGCCCAAGGCGTGGCAGGCCCGTTCGGCGGCGCCCCCGGTGATTTGAAAAACCGAGCATGATTTTTATCCCGGTCAAATTTTGCCCCGATCCTGGCTTCATCTTAAATTAAACATTGGCCCAGCGCGGAGGAGTACCAGGCGGCGCCCGTCATCCCCTGTTGGAAATTCCGGCGTCACCTTTCGCGCGCAGTGGGCGTGTCGCGGCCGCGGTTTCCGAGTCGCTTCCATCGGGGTGCTTGGCGATCGCGCGAGCGGTGTGGCATGATCTGCGTAGCGGACTTCGTCGTTGGGCGTTCTGTATATGCCCTTGGCTGGGCGAGGTGGAGACGTGGGCGCCGCGACGTGGGGTGAGTGCATCGCCGCCTCTCGAACGGATCATCGTGCTCATCTCTATCACCTCAACATTCATGGGGAATAGGAACCGGGGCGGGGACGGAGGAGTGGAGAATGCGGAGGGCAAGGAGGTGGAGAAACTGATCAGCATGATCATAGATAACATGTATCTGATGGGGGGACAGCGGGCGGAGGAAGTGAACGGCGGGGGCGCGGGCAAGTTTTGGGGCGCCTGGTGGGCGGTGATGATCGGCAAGAGCCTGGAGGGCGCAGTCATGATATAATTGTCTCCAACTTCATATTTAGGAATTAGACGCAGAGCGCGTGAAATCTAGCCGCGGGCAGCCGCCGGTGGGGCGAGGGGGTCAGCGACGGAGCCGCCCAGGACCTCCACGCTCGCTGGAGTTATCCTCGTCGCGTGGTCGTCGGCAATCCTGGCATCCAATTGCCGAATGCGCAAGTGCGCGACCGCGCGGCGCGAGCGCGCGGCCTCCGAGCTCCTGGCGAAAATCGCGCATCCTCAAGGCGTGGCCGCGCTTGCCCGAGATGTCCTGGGGCTGACCATTGAATTGCCATTTCCTTCCTATCCTCGCCGCCCTGCACTTCCCCCCCGCGGCCGCGGGCGCGCCGGTGGCCCAGGCGCGACGGCCGAGTGGGTCGCCGTTCCTGCGCGAGTTCAGCCGCGCCCACCTATCCTAGTGGATCGGGGGCCAAGTCGGAACCAAGACCTCGAATCGGCGAGGCCAGATCGCCCGTGCACATTGGGCGGGCAATCGGTGCTGTTTGCTACCGATGGCAACCACGAGAAGATGTCACCCAGCAGGGCTGTTCTGGAAGCTGGAATCGTTGGCCGCGCTCTTGCCCGACGCTGCGACGGCGCTGGGCGCGGCGACGCCGCGACGGAGAGTGCCTTTTTCAGTTTGGGGCGGGTTTTCCAGAGAAGCCGCTTGGCCTTGCGGGCGCTGGCGAACTGGTGATGCCTGCCGCGCCGCGCGGCCCAGTGGCGGAGCGCTGTGCGCGCGTGCCTATCCCCATCGTTGTAAAGACAGAGTTGTGGGGGGGGCAGTGCTGGCTGCAGATGGTTCGTGGCGCTCTGCCACCCGGCGTCGCGCGTCGCGGGCGCGGAAGGCGCGCGGCGCTGAGCGCGTGCTCCGGGGCAGAAGCCGAGCGAAAGGAGAACGATTGCGTCGGTTCCGGGGCGCCGCGCAACTGGCGCTCGCTTGGGGCGCGGACGCCTGGGCGATGTGTCGGAGCGACATTCAGACGTTGAAGCACTGCGAGGTGGGTATGTTGCGAAATATATGCCCCTTCAAACGGCTTGCCGGCGCGCCCGTGCAGAACTCCATCATGGGCGCGCGCAGACGGGCCCGCGGTCTGGTCATCAAGCAGGGCCACGAAACGATCGAGTAAGTGGCACCACAGGGGGGGGGGCGCGATAGCGGGGGCCACGCGCGAAGCCGCGCCCGACAGGCATGGCTAGCGTCAGATTATCTGCCAGAGAGCTACTGGGGGAAATCCGCATGCCACCGTTGCGTTTGCCATGCGCGCGCAAGGAGGAGACGCAAAGCTGCGGATGGTGAGGCCGTGCGTCACCAGCGGCCCCGATGCGTGAAGAGGGCCACTTGTGTGGAGGGCGCGTTCGTCGACGCGCTCGGTCAGGATTGGCGCGCCCGTCATGGCCGGCGCTGGGCGGCTGCAGCAACCGCGCGCGCGACGCAGACTCCAGAGTAGTTTGGCTTGCAAGGGGGGCAGCTTCAAGCTGTGCGGTAACGTCGAGCTTCTGAATGGGTGGCGTCTGTGCGTCGCGCGAGACGCCCGCCAGGCCGCGACGCCTCGCCGGCGAAGCGACGCAAGCAAGTTGCATTTCATGGGGGCAGCCGGCGAGGACCTCGAACCAGATTGGAGACCTGGAGGGCGCCGCGAAGGTGTTGTTGCACTTCTGTGGATTCAGGCGCGAAGGTGTTGCTGCGCTCCTGTTGGTCCAGGCTGGCGACGAGAACGTGTTGGAGTGGCTCAGCGGCACGGCGCGGGCCATGGGCGAGGAGATGCTGCGCGTCGTCGCAGACCTTCAGGAGGCGCTGGCCGCGCTGTGGCGGGCAGGGGCGGTTCTCCCCGCGCGCGCTGAAGTGCAATGGCGCTGGCATGTCTTCAGGGGGCAGGTCGCGGAGGCAGACGGACTTGCCGCGCTTGCGATTGCTGGGGGGTGGGGGGTGGGGGGCGGCGCGCGCGGGGCGGGGGGGGGCTGGCTCAACTTCGTCGGCGCGACCGCTTCCATGGAGACTGCGACGTACGCGCCGACGTTGCGCGCCGACACGATCACACGGGACGCGGCCTGTACGTGGAGGGCCTCGGATAAGGAAATGCGTGGATACATCTATACATCGAAGCGCGCGACAGTTGAGCTGGGGGGTCCAGTATTTGTCGAGATGCTGGGGATGACAAGGCTCGCGGGCTTCATCTCGCAACTGGAGAGCTGCATTAGGGCCGCCCGAGCAGGCGTGTGATAGCTGACGGTTTTGCCACGTTGGCTTGCGTTTTCTGCCACGGCACGCTGCAGCCAGATGCGTCCATGCCAGCTTGGAACCAGGCGGGAGGCAGAGGAAAAGCTTTCGCCGAGGGCCACCGTCGTTCTTGTGGGCATCCGAGAGCAGGTGTCGCGGCCTTTGGGCCCCGTGAGTGGGCGCAGTCAGTGGATCGGAGGGCTGGGCTCTTTGCCCCTCCCTCTGAGGGCCTCCAGAGAGACCTCCGGAGGCGGCTGTCGTCGTCTTCGTCGTCGACGTCGTCGTCTTCGTCGTCGACGTCGTTGTCGTCGCCGTTGTTGTCGTCGCCGTCGCCATCGCCATTGCCGTCGCCGTCGCCGTCGTCGTCGTCGTCGTTGTCGTCGTCAACGTCGTCGGCGTCGTCGTCAACGTCGTCCTCGTCCTCGTCTTTGTCGTCGTCCGCATTGTTGCCGTCGTTGTCCTCGTTGCCGTTGTCGCGGCCGCGTTTCGCTGCTCCTACAGGAGGAGCGTCGGTGGAGGGCGAGCATGAAGAATGGGGCGTGGAGGAAGAGCCGGATTGATGATGAGGACGAGTGGGAAAGAAGTGGAGGAGGCGGAGGAGGAGAAGGAGGAGGAGGAGGAGGAGGAGGGAGGAGGAGGAGGAGGAGGAGGAGGAACAGGAGGAACAGGAGGGGGAGGAGGAGGGGAATGAAAAGGAGGATTCAGAGGACGAAAACTGGGAAGAGGAGGGCGGAAAAGCAAAATGAGGAGGAATATGAGGAGGGTAAGGGGAAATGGGGAAGGGAAAGGGGAGGGGGCGAGGGGCGGAGGCGACCCGGACTTGGGGGAAAGAGAGGGGGGGAGCGGCGAACGGGGAAGCGGGAAGGGGGTGGAGGAGGGTGGATGTGCGAGGGGGGGGGTGGGCGAGAGGCTCCGCGGCGCAGCGCGGCAGGCCCAGCGGTCCGCGCAGATGCGCTTCGAGAAGGACTTGCTCGACCGCGTGCAGGTCGCCCGCGGCCGCCCGGGCCGTGTCCCGCTGCTCTCGCAGCCGCCGCCGCTAGCGCCGACGCTTTTGAAACCCGGGCACTGCCAATTTTCTGCCTCTGAGCGACGAAGGAAAACGGGGTCGTCTGCGCCGACGTTTGCGCGTAGACAGCCCGCGTTGTAAGGTCGCGCGTGAGCGCCCTCGTCCCCAATGCAGCGTGCCGCGCTGGCGGCCCGCGTGAGGCACCGTGTAGGGCCACCGCAAGACCCGTTTTTGATTGCCGCTCACCTGGCGATTTTGCTTGGTTTCGGGCCCCAGGACCATCATCGACCGATCCGTCCCGAACAATGCCGCATAAAGATGGGGTGTCCAGGGCTCCGGTCGTGCTTGTTCGCGATGTTTTTTTTGTCTTTGTATGGAAGCATTATGCCCCGCACTGGCGCTGACTTCCTGGCCTGGAAAGGACGTTGTTTTATATTAAAATACATTTAGAGTAATACAAACGTAAAAGAATAATACGAATAAGCAAAACATATCAAAACGACGACGTCGGACCTCGGGGGCTGCCGCCGCGCCGGCCTGCTGTCGCTGGCCGCCCGAGGCACCTTTCCGCAGGGCGCTGCGGCAGGAGGCCCTGCCGACCAGAAGAGGAAACCATACCGATGCCGCTGCTCGTCCTGGAAAGCCTCCGCCGCCACGGCCAGATTGCTTCCTACTGGTCTCACTCGGGATTGAAACCCAGATTGCATCTCAGCCTCTAGATCTTCGCCAGCGCGTGGAGTCAAAACTGTGTACAGCTTTGCTTGCGCTGCGAAAAAAAACATCTCTTCGAAATTCTGGTCAGAGCGCACCCTGGGAGAGGTCCGAGGGGGGTAGCTGCGTCGGTATCTTGTGCCCCTCCAGCCGGGAGGTGGCCCGTGACGAGCTCGGGGCCGCGCCAGCAGGCCGTCGGGGCGGCGTTCTGGGAGGCTGGAAGTGGGGGCGGGGAGGGGGATGGAGAAGTGGTCTGGTGGTTGTGAGCACCGGGGGGTCTGGCACGGTCGCGCATCTTCTGGCAGGCTAGCAGCCGAGCGTCTTGCCCGCAGCAGCAGAGCAATCATCTGGAGCACCGCGATGAGGGAATTGCCGCCCGAGCAGCGGTGGGCCGCTTGTCGAGCCAAGCGCGCCGCCAGAATGGATTGGGCGTCAGCCCTCAAATCATGGAAGAAAAAACCATACCATACACTTTTGGCGCCCCGCGCGGATTCCTCGGATCCGCGCTGGGCCCCCCCGCGTTTTTTCTGCTTTCTCAGACTGCCTCGCCCGGACTGCCAGGCTGCCAGGGGCCCCCCTGGTTCGGGGGGCAGAGGTGCAGAGCCCCGACGGGCCTTCCGGTGCGGTGGCCGCGTCGCGTGGTGAGTCGGTGGGGATGCGGGCTGGCCGCGCCGGTCCGGGGGGGGGCCAGCTCTCCGCGGAGGTCTCGGGCGCCTGGGGCGGCTTTGAGGGCCCCCATCCGCCCTGTTTTGGGATCCGCCGTTCTTTGGTTCATGTCAAGGCGGTTTCAGAAATGACAGGGTGCAGAGATATTTCCACAACGGTGTGGCGGAAACAGCGACGACAAAGAATGGCGGAAATCGACGTCAAATGAGGACGGACTGAGCGGTGGGGTCTTGCTGGGGATTCGGAGATCTCCGCACCGTCTGTCACCGCACCGTTGCGGGGCGCCCAGAGAAATTCACCGAGCGCGTTCCACTACTCTCATTTTGCCTTCTCGCAAGCGCCCGACAAAAATAACATGTCTTCCTATGCGTAATGGATCGTGAATCCCCCGCTGCAGATCCAGGCGATATCGCGAGTAGTTATTATGCGAGCAGTGGAACGTGCTTGTCCAGGCACGCTTTTTGAACAGGGCTCGCCGCCGGTGCCGCTGCAGGCGACGTCCATTTTCGGGACGAGCGTTGTCTGCCGGGCAGCGGCGGCGGCCGGTTTTGAGCAACGCTCCCAGACATCCGGCAATGAGTGTGCCTCAGTCCACGGCCCCAGAGGGCCCCGACCTAGGTTGGGATGCATCGACCCCCAATTGTCCAGTGATCGCCGATAGGGGCCCGATAGCCCCAACCTGTCAAGGAGCGTGCGGATTCACTATCGGGGGTCTATCGCCGATCTATCGAAGATGCATCGCTGATTCCAGGTCGCCGTGTCCCCCCCCTATGCCAGTGCCCTCCCCTATCGTTGCCCCTCACCCCCCCCTGGGGCCATATCTTCGCCCCCGATCAACATGTGATGGCCGATAAGTAACGGGGCCAGAGGCTGAGGTCGAGAAGAAGGGCCCTCGCCCTGTTTGTTTGCCGCTCCAGCCTCCGGTGGCACCGAGGGCTCCCCTGAGATCCGACGTCGCGCAAAAATGGGAACATCGCCAAACATCGCGACCAAAGCCCTAGAGGCCCCACCTTTCGGCGGCATGTTTCGAGACATATCGATTCGCGGTGGTCCCATGACCCGAGCCCGGGCGAACATGCCCGTCACGAAAATTGGCA